GACTGTTTGCCATTGTTGAAGGCTGTTATTAGGATGGTAGAGATTCTCGGTGACCCTCTGAACCTCTCGTTGATGAACAATAAGTAGTTGTTTGGTTTTTTAACCATCAAAGCCTTGGAACTGTGTCTGTGATTCGCCTTCCGCCAGGATAGGTGTTCTGATGACTTGCTACGCTTCAAAGCTCCTGTGTATTACACCCCTCGAGGTTTCCACCCAAAGTAAACTCTGTGACTCTAAGAAACTTACAGTTGTCTAAATTAGGATTGTGACTTTGAGAAGAGCTGACCTTCACGATAGTTTATAGAAGCCATTTTAGAGCTCTCCTGCCCCCTCATTTCTTCCATACCCCCTGTGGTCCCATGAAGCTATGGCCAGTTTCTCCCGCATTACTTGGTGCCGCATTTGCCATGGCAGATATCGCATGGTCTACCCATGGGGCCAGCAGACATGGCTGAGGCCCATCGCAGTTGATGGGCTGGTAGGTGTTGGCAGTATTCCCCCCCCTTGGTCTTTGATAACCCTGGGGAATAATTTAGTAAGGCATAGGAAAAAAGGGAGGCTGGCCAAACTCCTAAAAACGGGACTTTGAAGAAGCAGAATTATTGGTTAACTGATCTGGTTGGGTGCTCCAAGAAAGGCTGTCGCGCGCAATGGCCAGGGGTGTGTAGTTCTGTTGAGCTGTCCAGTGAATGCTCTCGCGTTGTAATGGGGTCCCCGTCTCAGGTGTTTTGTTTCATGATGTTATTCTGGAATCTTCAAAAACGGTAACATTGAGTTTTAAAATGAGTTAATTATGTGAAATAATTGAAAAGACACAAAAGTAGAGTGACTTGTTTAATACCCTCCCATTTATCCATTACGAAGCTTCAACAGTCATCAAGGTTTTCCACATTTGCTTCAAATATAAAGTGAAGAGCCTTGAGGAAGGTCAAGCTTTCCGTGTTGTGTTTTGCGCGAGTCGTCGGGGCGCCCCGCGCGGCCTGGGCCCCTCCCGCGCCTCGGGCCCGCGTCCCAGCGTCCTCGCATCCCCCGCCCGGGGCCCGGCTGGCTGGGGCCGGGGCCGAGGCTGCCGCCGCGCGTAGGCCCGAGGCCCGGAGCGCCCCGCTTGGCCCGGCCTCGCTGCCCGCGCGGGGATGGGGGCGCCGCAGCCCGGCCTGGCCCGGCCCTAAGCGCCCGAGGGGGTGGAGGCCGGCTCGGGGCGCCCGGCTCGGGGCGCGCACGGCCGGGAGGGGAGGGGGCTGCGCCGGTCCCGACCCCAGCCGCCGCGAGTCTGAGGCGCGCTCCGCTGTGGTCCAAGATTCTTGCTGCCAGCACTTCTTCGGCCCCTTTTCCCAAGGAAAGTCTGGAAATGCTGAATTTTGGCCAATTCCTGTAGTTAGGACTGCCGCCTGGAAGGGGGAGGACGCGGCTCCCCGGAACCCTCAAACTGCGTGCGCGGCTCGTTCTCATTCCAGACACGCCGGCCTCCCCATTCAAGTGCTAATTCCTTTTACAATTTCCTAGGAGAGGTGAGGCGAGGTGGGTTCCTGTGGCACCCCTTGTTGCTAGTCGGCCTTTCTCTGGAAAAGTTCTAAAAAACTTAAAGCAGTAACGCATTGTTTTTCTTTTTAAATGCAGAGTAGAAGGCGGTTTCCTTGCTGGGCCAAGAAAACGGTCAAGTGTTGTACTGCTTTTGGCGTGCTCCCACCAGGCACGTGGCTCCTGGCTCTCCCGGCCGGCCTGGCCGCTGGGACGGGGCACCGCCTGCTCCCCTTTGTCCGCTGGGCCCCAGTCGGGCCGCAGGCGGCGCAGGCCTCGCCGGGCTCTGGGCTTATGTTTACCCGGCCGGTGAGGAGGCTCACATTCCCGGTGCTGCCCTTGCTGCTGCAGACCGGCCCCAACTTGTGCGGCCCGGGAGGCCCCCTGGCCCACCTGGGTCCATTGATGGGGGCCCCCACTGCTGAGGCTGTTGGCTCTGTGCCTTGCGAATGTCGCGTCTTTTTTCTGATGTCATTTAGAAAGCTTCAACAAGGCGGAGTCTGACCAACTTTTCAAGCCATGAGGGCTATCAGCAGTTTGAAGAATGATTTTCCCCCTACACCTGGGAGGGGCCACAGTCCTGGAGCAGATGCTGGCCTCTGGAGGCCCTGAGTGGCCAGGCGCCCTCGTGGGAAGGGACCGGGCATCCCCTTGTGTGAGTTGGGACCTTCCAGCTCGTTCCTATAGAGGAACACAGCACACACGGGACTGACAGCGCTACATTTGTTCACGCTATCAGTTTTAAAAGTTGGAGGCCCAGAAAAAGTGAAGAGCCTTGAGGAAGGTCAAGCTTTCCGTGTTGTGTTTTGCGTGTTAGTTAATTCGCTCCGCTTGCGGAGGTTGCTGGTGTTTGTGAAGACAGACAGCCAGGGCTCACGGAAGCTGAGAACTTCACCAAGGTCACGCAGCAGTGAGTGAGTGTCGGGACCATCAGTCGGACTTCCGAGCTGGTTCTCTGGGTGCCTTCCTCAGGGCAGTGCCTTTCAGGCCCTATAACCCAGACCCACAGTAAGAAGTCTCTGTTAGGGCTGGACGGGACCAGCACCTGCCCGCCTACTTGTCATTGACAGTGAGGCTTCAGGAAGCAACCCCAGCTCACTGCTGTTCTTGACTGTGTGCTCTGCCCTGGGATTCTGTCTTGTCGATTTCATTTGTCAGGGTACCTTGGCCCTCAGGATCCGCAGGCTTGTTTCTGTCACTCGCTGCTGTTTGGAGATTGTTGCTGTGGTGTGGGCCTGGGAGGGAGCGGACCCTCTGGAACAGGACAGTGGTTCAAAGAATAAATGTGTCTGCAGGATAATTCATAGCTAATGGCAGGATGGGAATGAACCCAAGTTTCAGGTTGTACAAACGTGCTGTAATTATAAGTCTGTGGTGCAGTTCAATTTTATGCTACACATTAAGGCTTTTAATTTTGTGTAAAAGGAATTTTTGGAATAGTCTTCATTGAGACTCTTTTTAATCTTATATTTTCTAATTTAGAATTATAAGACATTCCATTTGAATTATAGAAAAATTACATTGGGAGGCCAAGGCGGGTGGATCACGAGGTCAAGAGATTGAGACCATCCTGGCCATGGCCAACACGATGAAAACCCTGTTCTTAACTAAAAATACAAAAAATTAGCGTGGGCCTGGTGGTACGCGCCCTGGTAGTCACAGCTACTGCGGAGGCTGGATGGCAGGAAGACATCGCTTGAAACCTCTTTGAGGCAAGAGGTTTGCAGTGAGCCCAAGAGGGCGCCTCTGCACTCCGCCTGGAGACAAAGTGATGACTTCTGTCTTCAAGAAAAAAAAGAAAAAAAAGAGAAAATTACAGAATAGTTTTGCTACTCCAATTGGAACACCCCTTATTAGGCAACCTTACTTATTTAAAAAACAGTTCACAATAGCTTCCGACCATTATACCCAAATCACACAACAATGCTGGGTTACAATATGTGAATGCTATTTAAGAATCTGAAGTTAGAAACGTACTCCGTTTTTTCATTTTTTTGAACTGAGTTAATTAGGCATGGGTGGGATTCTCCCGTGACCTTGGAACCTTCCGTTGATGGAACAAATTAGTTGTCTTGGTTTTTACCATTCAAAAGACTTGACTGTGTCTTGGTGGATCGCCTCCCCCAGAGTAATAGTTGCTCTTATGACTTTGCTACGCTTCAAGCTCCCTGTGTATTACAACCCCTTCGCAGGTTTGCCACAAAGGTAACCTCTGTGACATTAAGACTGACAGTTGTTCTAAATAGGAATTGTGACCTTTGAGAAGAAGCTGACTTCACCATAGTTGTATAGAGCATTTAACTCCTCCTGCCCGTCTCTCCCTACCCCCAGTGGTCCCATGAAGCTATGGGGCCAGTTTCTCCCAATACTGGTGCTCCATTTGCCATGGCAGAATATCACGGTCTACCCATGGGGCGCAGGCAAGACATGGCTGAG